GAAAGATTGTTTCAATATGATAGACTTGGGAGAAGTTGAGTACATATTGGGAATTAAGATCCATGAAGTGAATCTTGAAGAATGATTGGAATGAATCGAGAGACTTATGTTGATAAGGATCTTTACAAGTTTATGAAGCAAGACTCTAAGAGAGGATGTCTTCCCATGTTTCATGGTATTACACTCAGTAAAACTTAGTGCCTTCAAAAGCTAAAAAGAGTTAAGTTGTATGGATAGTGTACCTCATGCTTTTGTAAAAGGGTCCATTACTTGTGCCATGAAATGTACAAATCAAGATGTTGCATATGACTTATGCATGTGCAACATGTTTCAAGCAAATTCAGAATAAGCAAACGGAGAATTACCAAGAACAGACCCTTGAGTGCTTGAGAAGCACTAAAAGGGATTCTTCTAATAGGTAATAAAAGCAAGTTGTCAAAAGGTTACACAAATGCAAGTTTTCCAAACAGGCAAGATGATTCTAGATGGTGATCTAAATGCATATTTGTGTCTGGATGGAAAAGGACAGTGAGCTTGAAGATTTTAAAGCAGAGCACTGTTGCATACTCAATGTCAGAATATGTGTATTTAACTATAGTCAGATAGTTAGAGAGGAAGTTCGGATTAAAATGTCATGTGACTAACAGGTCACCTTTGCCCAAGAATAAAGGAGCCAGAGTCACATCACAAATCCAAACTTAAGGATATGAGATATCACCTCAATTATGAGATCATTGACCAGCGAAAGGTCAAGTTCTGCAAAGTTTTATTATGAGTGAGAAATCACTAAACCCCTTCCATGGACTAAGGTATGAGAGTCATATTAAAGTCTTAAGATTGAAGCAAGTTATGTAATTTAAGTTGTATATGTTTTGAGAAAACATATTACATGAGAAATGCATCAATTTGCAGAATTATGTTTAAAATAGAAATTATTATTTCTCTTATTTAATAATGGTTTTGGAAATTAAATAAAATGTCCAAAATAATTATGAATTGATGGGCTCATCAGGTTAATGACCTGGTGAATTGAAACCCCACAGGTGAACAAAATTCATAAATTATTTAAGTTCCTAGTTCGAGATCATTAAAGTGGATATAAATGATTTCAAAAAATGAACTAGCATGTAAGATTGATTGGATAGCAGAGTTTCATGGGCTATAGGGGCATAGTGATGCTCGGTCAATCACTTGGATATGCATGAATGATGCATGATCGAACTATTGACCTACTTTGAAGTTCAAGTATAGAGCTTTCGTATATATTAGTGGATTCCTTTGACATGAGTGGAACATTGATTTCATTCAATGGATGTTGTGACTGTGGTACAATCAAACATCTAGCCGTAACTGGAGATTATAAAGGGTGTTTCCCAAATATTTCAGAAGTTGAGTGGGAGTAGTCTTGTTACCACAAGATTGGATAGAGTCTACCTATTAAATTAGGAAATGTGTCATGGCCGCTTGAAGAGGGAGAATTCAAAAAATACGTGGCCGCGTTCAAATGCATTACACAGTAATCATTTGGTTTTGTAATTCTAACTCAAATTTCAAGAAACTATTTGTAGATTAATATGATCTCGACATGTGATGCAATCATATTATCAAATCGACACATATATTGACTTAAGGAATTTGAATATTGCACCCTTGTCTCAGACAAGTGGGAGATTGAAGGAGTTATGTCTTCGTCGTGTGCAATTACTAGATATATAATTAGATCAAATTATGGAGATAATTAAGTTCGTACATTTGGGTCATCGCTTTGCCATAGCTAGAGGTACTAACGATATTTGGACTAGTAAAATAGCCTAAAGCCCAATTGGACGGATCCTATAAGGTCACACAAAGGGGCTAGATCGAGCATTAGAGGACGAGGCCCATCATGGGCCTCATCACTCTAGGTGGCCGGCCATATAGGGATTAGAAGTGGTTTTGGGCTTCGTGCCCTAGTCTAATTATAATAGGATTATAAATAGACTAGGTGTCTAGGTTTGCAAGTAGAAGTAAGCAATTAACTGATCAGTGTGATCAAACCCTAATTAGCAAACAGGAAACTCAACCCCTCTCATATTCCTCTCTCTCTCACGGCTCTCTCCTCCTCCTCACGCCGGTGGTGGTTTGTGGTGGTGGTGGTGATTCGTGCGGTGGTCGGTTATCTGTAAAGGTGGTGATCGCGATTTTCCTCAGTCACTCGACCAATCTAGTATTGGTGGACGGCTCGTTCGAATCTCGTGGACTAAGTAGAGGAGAAACGCTTGGGGCTCTATTCTCTCCCTGATTTTCCTGTCGAATAGCTTTGTGGAATTCACACGTCAAAGGTATGATTATGTGTATTGTGTGTTATGCATGTGATCTTGGGATTGGTACTTGATTGAATATGATTCATGTTTTTCCGCTGCGTAGTACCTATAAACTCCTATATAAGCCATGTCTACTGTTGCAACTAATGCGAAATGGAGGGAGTAATAATTAGGAAGATAGATTTTCATATCTTACCTCGTTTAACAAAATTAGAGTAAAATTAGATCAATCTTAGAAAAATTTGGTAATTACCATCTACAATTGTTGTTGTTTTAGCAATTACCACCTAAAGTTTTTTTTCTTTGAATTTTACTACTAAATATTTTTTCAAAATATCAAAACGTCCCACTAACTTGGCTCTCAACTCAAATGTGACGTCATGTGGGGCCCACTAATTACCTTTTTCCTTCCTCCCTTCCTTTCTTTCTCACTCGATTTCCCATTCACGTGTATTGTATTCCTGTCAATATTGAGGAAACACTTCAATTCGTGAAATAATTAACATGAATATATAATTTAATTTGAAGATTTTCCTCGATTTTGAGAGGAGTATAATATGCGGGAATTAGAAACCGGGTGAAAATGAAGAAAGTGAGGGAAAAGGGTGGGAAGTAGTTAGTAGGCCCCACATAACATCACATTTGACTTGAGAGCCAAGTAGGTGAGAAATTTTGATATTTTAAAAAGTAATTGGTGGTAAAAAAAATTTAAAAAAAAATTGTAGATAGTAATTGTTAAAATGGCAACAATTGTAGGTGGTAATTGTCAAAAAATCCTTAATCTTACACAACTTTTAACCACGCTCATCAGTAGTGGATCTTGGACTAATACAATGAATTGAAGGGGTCAAGATTTGACCCTCAAACATGCATCTAATTTAAAGTAATTAAGCACTTCAACCACTATAACGTAATGTTTTATTTCATTACAATTATTAAAGAACGGAATAAATAAGATTTAAATACATTTCATTCTACAGAGAGAAATTTCAAAGAGACATTTAATTTTGATTTTATTTGATTTGGAAATTACATTATCCTTATAAGCTAGCATATAGAGACATATATATATTGGCCAAGAGACAACTCTTGTCCTGAATACACCGGCCAAATTGTCCAATTCTCTAAGCGACTAAGCAGCTTAGTTTTATCTTTTAAAAAAATAGCAAATTTGGATAGATTTTAATTAAATGGTACCTAGAATATTAGGAGTACAGCCATGATTGAGGGAGACAAGAATATATTTCAAAGGAAAATGTGGGTGAAACGTGCAAATCAGAGTTATATTACAGGTGCTCAGTCTAAATTAATAAATAAACTAATTAATATATAAATAAAAGCGTATAAATATGAGCAGGAAATGACAATTTGGAGTTGGTAAGCATTAAGGATGTCCAAGTTTTATACGGTAGGCATCTATGTGATAATGTACCATACTTATTGTATAACCATCTCGTTTTGGGTGCGACTGTCACACCATGTGGATATATATCTAAAAAAATAAAGTAGTTCCTATAATACTGATCAAATAACACTATAACACTGATTTAGGGGCATATTTTCATTGATTGAACTGAGTTGAACTGAAATGAACTGAAATGGAACTTATTAGAGCTGAAGTGAACTGAAGTGAACTGAATTCTGAACTGAACTAAATATTTTATAATAGAAGAAAATTAGGAGCTGAACTAAACTGAACTGAACTTACGAGCGTTGAATTGAACTTATTAGAGCTGAACTGAACTGAAAATAATCATATGAGAACTGACCCTTAGTAACACCTCTGATACAAACAAAATAATCCTCATGATGGCTAGCCACACCTTGTGGCAAGCCACATATATAAATTGGTGTTATATATCTTTTTTTTATTATTATTAGTTTGCCTCATTCGGTACACCGAAGCTTAGCCCCGACTACATCCGGTTCCGACTCGGGTTGCACATCTGGCTTATGATAGGTGAGTCTTCCAACAAGAGTAATCTGGATTCGGTGAGGTTTGAACTTGAAACCTCCGTTAATCAACATCAAGCTACTTACCACTTATTGTATATGTATATATTAGGTAGATTTTAATGTATTATTTTGAAGTTTTAAATATTTATTTTACTCGGTATTAACATTGACCGTGTCATTCAATAAAATATAAAATAAATTTCATCGTTTCAATGTGTTGTTGAGTTTATAACAATAATTCAAAATATAATTTATTTTGTGGTAATTTATATTCAATTATTAATTAAACAGTGAGGCATTGACAAAAATGTTCATTTTAAGTAATGTCTCTAATTAAAATTGAAGCGAGCATAGTTAATAATCAATATGCAATGGAGACAAGCAATGAAAAGAAAATATAATAAGAACATTATGGATGGGTGAAATATTTTATACACACCAGGGATGGAGGATGTAAGAATATGTGAACAGCTTTAATAAGTATTGTATTCCATCAAAGAGACTGATTAATTAATTTTTGTAACAATTGTTACAAATGTAGTTTTTTTTGTAAATGTTGCATAAGATTTTAAAGTAGATTATTAAGTTAATTTAACCATTGATGACAATGTTTATACTGATTACAAAAGTGTTGTAAATGCTCATATGTAACCCCTAGAGATGCATAGCCGGTGGATATAATTATCCATTTTTTATTCAAATAATAAAAATAATTGATAATGCATCTGAAAGACCTGGTACTAGTGACATTATATTTTTCAGCTATATAAACATCAATTTCAACACTTAGCTAACCATTTTAGGAAAAACACGAACAAAAATAAGAAAATAAAAATGAGGAAAGTTACATTTCTTCTTATGATCTTCCTCCCTCAGTTGCTATTCCAACTGCAAGCTCTTGCCTCAGATAATGGATGTGTTGCAACAACCTCAACTTCAAGCCCCTGCAACTCTCAACCTCAACAGGTTTCGTTCTCTCTCCTCTTTCTGATTTTACATACTCCCTCTGTCTCTAATTTAAGGTTCTTCATGTTTGGACATGATATATTATCTTACCAAAAAAAAAAAAAACAAATTAAGTTGAACTTTCAGAAACGGAGACAGTAATGTATACATTTATTTATCTAGCTAGCTTACGGAAATACACACTAGATTAATGTATATGCCTTTATTTTTCTAAATGAACTTAATTACACACTAGATTAATACGAAGTATATACATGTCTATTGCTTGTATTATTATTTTATGATCTTATTATTCTTATATATATATATATATATAGATTAATATTCACCACTGTTAGATAAATTAATCACGATCTTCACTTGTTTGGTTACTACTTACAATTCTGAGAACCGTTAGTAATGTGTTTATTAGGGTAAATCATGATCATGCTTACTAATTAAGATGGTTGCACACTAAGATTAGTAGAATGAGTAGTGGCTTTCTTTTTTATTATTAATATGGAACTATTTTATAAACATTATTATCTATACTAATGTCATAGATGGGCTTTCTTTAGTTTATAATTCGTATAATAAATGGTTAAAATTATTTATAGAGTTCTGCCTCTATGATAATTGAAAGATTGTTTTCGATTGACTCTTGAATCCTTGATCCAAAGATAACAACCACATGTAATATCATTATAATAACAAATTAATAATAAAAAGCTAAAAAGTTTGTTGAATAATCATGTTAATTTGATTTGTTCAACAATAATATAGAATGGCAATTAGCCAACTTACCTTTATTATTTTTTACAAAAATAAAATAAAAATAAAAAAATAAAAAACCTTCTAGTACTATTTGATCGAACAAGCGATTAAGAAAATGTCTAATCAATGTTGGAAGTAAGAACATACTTTGCTAAGGTTGCAAATTTTTACCATAACATTTTTAAATTGACATATTATATTGTGTGATAAGATCTTATTTCGAAACAAAGTAGCATAATGTTCAAATTTAAATATTATACTCCTTGTCAAAAAAAAATAAAAAAAAATAAATAAATAAATAAACAATATATATATATATATATATATATATATATATATATATATATATATCAAAATAATTAAGATATTATTACACAATATATTAAAGTAAAAATGTTAAGCTAAAAGTTAGCAATCTTACATTCCTATTTCCTACCCATACTATAACAATAATAAATAATGCTTAAAATATTATCCTTTTCTTTTATTAAACTATAAATCACAAATTAGAAAGAGAGATTTAAATCTGTAACGTATCACATATGTTTTTTTTTTTTTTTTTTTTTTTTTTTTGAAAAGGCCTATCACATATGTCCTTAGTTTTTAGTCACTAGGCCATTATCGATGTAATTGATGTAATGATTATTGTTCATTAGAGTAATTATAGCTAGCAATGACAATAGGTCAAAGTCTCAAAGAAGTGATGAATTTTTTTGCCTACCTTACCTTGAAAGTGGACAAATTGAAAAAAGCAAATTACAAGTATGATAGACAAATTGTGAGCAATTGAAAAGCCAATTTGACCGTAATTAGTGGAGTTAGATTAAAAAGATTATATCATCAAAAACTAATTGTTTAATAAATGAAAGTGGGCAATATATACGAAGCATTATGAATGACACTAATAAGCCAAAGGAATCTGTCGTAATAAAGGTCATAGAACTGCCAGTTGGTCATGCATTGCTGTATGAAGAGCCAACTATAAATGTCTCAATCTCTCACAATCTCATTGTCACAACCTATTACATGTATAGATAGGTTTCACATGCACATACACCTAATGAATAATTGATAGGTTGAATCTACTTAATTGGGATAAATTAGGTTTTGATTTGAATAATAATAATTGATTTTTTTTTATGTTAAAAATCTATTTTAATATATTTCAATTGGAAATTTTCAAAAATTCATCTTGAAATGGTTTGAAACTTTAAATAATTAAGATCTAGAATAAAAAAAAAAAGTTTAAATGTCTTGAAAACTTTGGATTATTAGTTTTCATGATTGATTTGCAAAAACTAAGGGCATGTGTACGTTAGGTTGCAGATTCGAATCTCCCCCTCTTTATTATTTGTAATTCTCTTATGTCTTATTCACATCCTATAAACATGATCGTCTTAGGGCATATTTACATTTACTGAACTGAAGTGAATAGAGGTGAAATGACTATTTTATGAGAGAAGGAAATTAAGAGCTGAACTGAATTGAACTAAAGTGAAATTAAGTTGAGGTAAACAGACCCTTACAGTCTTGAATATTGATGTGTATAAGGAAGCACATACATAATTAAATTAAATAATTTATTTTTGTACAAGAAAATATTAAATAATTAAAGCACTAGAATGCAATAATTTTGATGATGAATTTTAACTAAAAGTTGGTGCATATGTATGAATATGTAGGTACATATCTCATTGGCAGGAAATGGGTACATGAGAATATCATGGATTACAACTTACAAAATGGCAACATCTGTTGTGGAATTTGGTACCAAGTCTGGAAGCTACAATGAATATATACTTGGTGACAACTTTAGCTACCATTATTATTCTTATGTCTCCGGCAAAATTCACTACGTTACTATTGGACCTTTGACGCCTAGCACCACCTATTACTACCGTGTTGGTGGTACCGGACCCGAATACTCCTTCCGTACTGCCCCCGCTGCCTTCCCCGCTGAATTTGTCCTTGTCGGTATGTTTCGATAATAAATTAATTGATTACTTATTTAGTAATGACACAAGCATAGATTAGGCGGATTTATAATAACGTTTTGAATTATAAGGTCAAAATGACTTTAGTTATAAAGAGTGACTCCTTATTTTATTATAAGTACGTACAGTAACGCTGCACAAATAATTTACAAGTAATAAGATGTTAACAATGTTACTACTATATGAATAAACATTGTTCAAGTACAAATAAAATTTTAGTAGAACTAACATAGCTAAACAACTTATGTACTCGTCTTTTATTTTCTTGAAATAGGTGGAGTTGGACAAACACAATGGACCAAGGCCACACTAGACCGCATTAGCCAAAGATGCTATGATGCATTGGTTGTAGCCGGAGGCCTCTCATACGCCGATGGTCACCAATCACTTTGGGACTCCTTCGGTCGTTTAATCGAGCCATACGCTAGCCAAAAGCCATGGATGGTCGCATCTAGCAAATACGAAATTGAGGGTGTTTGCACAATCTCTAAAGGACCTCAACCCTTTAAGGCCTTTAATGCAAGGTGGCTCATGCCTTACCATGAGAGTGGCTCATCCTCTAACCTTTACTACTCCTTTGATGTTGCCGGAGCTCACTTCATCATGCTTGGTTCGTATGCTGACTTTGATGCTAGCTCGGCTCAATACGAGTGGCTTAAGGCCGACTTGATTAACATAGATAGGGCTAAGACTCCTTGGGTCATCGTCGTGGTTAACACACCATGGTACACTTCTAACGTCGCCTACAAGGGTGAAGGCGAGTCCATGAGGAAAGCCATGGAAAGTCTTCTCTACACTTTTAGGGTTGATGTGGTTTTTGCCTCTCGTGTCAATGCTTATGAACGATTTGTAAGTAACCCTAATCTACATTATTATTTATCTACATTTTTTTAAAAAAAAAAACTAACTATAATAATTTCTTAAACATTTATATTCAATTAATCATATGCATATGCTATGATAATAATATTGTTGCATGTTTGGACAACAGGCTAGAGTTTATGACAACAAGCCCGATGCTTGTGCGCCCGTCTACATCACCCTTGGAGATGCTGGCTTCAAACCAAACTTCGAGTATGTACAACTTTGGGAAATGGTTTTGGCACATCAAAATTAAATTTGGCACACCTCTATATGAGAGCACAATTATCTATGCTCTTCTCACATAGGGGTGTGTCAAAATCAATTAGTAGTGTGCTAAAATCACTTTCTCAACTTTCGTAATTCTTCATTTAGTATTAACTTATATATTATGATGATCTAGGGGCATATTACATGTATATATCATTCTAGTTACAGATAATAAAAGTTCTAATAAGTTAAGATAACTTTAAATAAGATAAGATTATATAAATTCAGATAAGTTATAACCATGTGAATAGAATACACCCTTAAATGTTTAATTTATTGCTAAGTTTCTAAATCCAACACTACACACATTGTTGTAGGTTTGAGCAATCCGCTCCATCAACCTCATTGCATAGAGAGCTAACATTCGGACACGGGCGATTGAGAATATACGACAGCAAGAAGGCTCACTTCGCATGGTACCGAACCGAAGATGACTCTGATTATGGCAACCCTAGTGATGAAGTTTGGCTTAAAAGCCTAATGTCCTCAGAAAATTGCGTGGAGAATTGTGCATGCAAAAAGTTCTCATGCGTCAAAACCGAACTTTGATTGAGTTTTGAAGATGAAATTGTTGTCTTTGGAATGTTTTGTGTAATAGTTTTTTGATTGATTTCATCACCCTTTTGTTTTAGCTTTGCCAATGGCATCTTTTGTAATGGATTTGGAGAGTTTTGGACTTTGTGTCCCTCAATCTGTTAACAAAGACATGAAGAAAGCAATGTAATAAGATTGGGTTTTTGTTAACAAATATGGTTGTGCTTGTTTTATAAATGAGCTCATCGTGTTCCACGAAAATAATATAATCTTTTACACTACTTATATATTATTGGGAAATTCTCGATGGTAGTCTTCTACTTTTGCTTTTTTTCAATGATAGCCAATTTTTTTTTCAATTCTCTTTAGTAGCCCTAAACTTTCACATTTTTACAACTGTAACCTTAATAATGATTTTCTGTTAAATTTCCGTTAAAACTAACTACGGTCTACGGAATACTAAACAAGTTAACTATTCCAATAATTTAAAAAAAAATAAAAAAAAAAAAAAAACAAAATTCTAAAAATACCCCCACACACAAATACCTCCATCCTCCTTATTTCTCCTCTTCCTTCAACCTCCAAACTCCATAGATTTATCTCTCCACCTTCATCATCATTATTATTTGATAAATGTGTAAATGTCCATCAACCTCCAAACTCTCAATTGTTTAATTCTCTGAAATATGAAGTGCTCTTCATTTCTCCATTCTCCCCCTTTTTATTTTCAATCAAATTCTAGGGTTCTTCATTTTCGTGGGAGTATTTTTCGTGGAAGGGGTTTTCGTGCATACATGGGTGGTGATTTTCATGGGTTGGGTGGTAATATTGTGAGTTGCGGGTTTCTTGGGTGGGGTTTTGTTGGGCGGCGGTTCCATGGGAGTGTTTTCGTGGGTAGGGTGGATGGCTAATTTCATGGTGGGTTTTGGGGTTGTTGGTGGCCAATTTCGTGGGACTATGGGAGGTTGTTGCGGTTGAGTGGAGGAGGAATGGAGAGGGGGTGGTTGTTGCGGTGGAAAGGAGGGACAGAGATGTAGTGGTTTGCGGGTGGAGGGTTTTGGGGTTGGAGGTGCTGCCAAGGAAGATGAGTGAAGGGAAGGAGAGAGAAAATGGTTGACAATAGTTAAAGTTAACAGATATTTAACGGTTTAGACTTAATAAGGTTACGGTTGCAACTTTTTAAAAAGTTGAAGGCTACCATTGGGAAAAAGCAAAAGTAGAGGGCTACCATTGAAAATTTCCCTATATTATTTTTGTTATTCAATTAGCTAGGTTTGTTTATTAATCTATAAAGAATCAATATAATTTAGCTTTAACACGGTCTCATTTTCATTTTCAGCGGAGATTTATTCTTCACGCCCAACTTGGCCACAGTGTCTCAACTTGCCTCATATTCTCGTGTTACTCCATACTTGTATAGTTGTATTTGTTGGAATAATGCTATGTTGAATTCACTTTATTTATTTTTTAAATTATATTAAAAAAAAAATGTTCACTAGATCATATAAGAAAAAAAATAAGTTCTGATTATATTTTATTATTTATTAGTGTGGCTCGCGTGATGTCCCTTTCCTAGTTTGTTTTTGTTTAATTTGATAATAATGTTTGATTGTTTTTTTTTTTTTTTAATACTAGTATATGGAATCATCTTGAAATTTGTATAAGGGGAACCATATACAATATTTTGTATGTTATTACTCCATATGATCAAAGATATTTAACTGTTAACTATTTAATAAAAATTCTTCTTTTTCAAAATAATACAGAGTACAATTTTTCAAAATTTAAAATTAAAGTCATTAAATTGAGTGTTTTCCATAAATAATGTTCAATTGCAATTCCATAAATACAATCATTCTTTTATAAATTCCAAGATTACTGTCCACGTCATCATCTAGATATTAAATCTTTTTTTTTTCTGGTCCATCAATAAACCGCCATTTGAGTTAGCGGTTTTCATTTTGGGGAAAACCGCTAATTGAGGTAACGGTGTTCATTACGGTTTTAAAAAAAATGAGTTATCAAATCTCCTGTAATCAAGGACAAATTCACATAATGGAATCAAACGATACTGCTCCAAATTACATCAAACTAAAATTAAAACAAAATCAAAAAATCAAATCTGAATTTTGTGAGATCTTACATAATTATAAAAAATCACATTATATTTTACTATCCTAGTGGCGGAAATTCGGTAAAGCTTGTGACGATAGAGAAGCGGCAGCGGCGTAGCGACAGTGGACGGTGGTGATGGCGTAGCGACATATCACATATTGATGGACAATGGTGGTGATGGAGCAGGAATCCTTAGCAGTGTTTTTATAAAATTAGGCTTGAAAGAGAATTTGCAATATAATCACCGAAAACCCAAATTGAATCAAAACTCACCAAGGTACTGCCAACTAAAACCTTTGAAGATGATAAGCAATTAATAATGAAATTGGACTAATGGGTGAGAGAAGTTTGAGTGAGATATAAAATTTGAGCAAGGATTGGCCGGTAATGGAGGACTTTGGTTTCAACGATAGTGAGAGAGAGAGATGAGGATATTTCTTTTAGTGGACTGGTTTCACTATTAGGTGGAAACCGCTACTTGAAGTAGCGGTTTTCCTACATAAACCGCTAATTCAAGTAGCGGTTTTATAAAAAAATCCGGAAAAAAAAAATTTATTCATTTAAACCGATGACGTGGACAGTAATCTTGGAATTAATAAAAGAATGACTTTATTTATGGAATTGCAATACTTAATAGCATTATTTATGGAAAGCACTCCATTAAATTATGTTATGATATGTAACAAAAAAAATACAATTAAGGATTAATCATATTATCCAAGTTATCTATAATTTGGTTGAATAAGGTCACACAATAGATGGATAGCTAAGCCTAAGGTGGTAAGACTTGTATTGTAATAGTTGTTAGTCTCGAGTTCAAGTCTTGCTAAAAAGCATTTTTTAGATGTCAAATCTAAATCATTTTGGGCAGGTGACGTGACATGTTTATAGTGCTTATTAAGATGACATGTGACATATATTCATAACTTAGCAATTTATAGAGGCTTGAAGGGTGACACATGGCCCATATTATATTTAAGAATGCTTTTTAATATATAAATATAGATGTGCCGGTTTTTTAACGGTAAATATATATATTTAATTTCGTAATTAAAAAAATTATGAAATTTCAAATTATTACGATTTTAACAAAATTAAACTTGATACTTCCTTCGTTTTTCTTTTATTGCGCCATAAGGACTTTAACACTATTCATTTAATCTTCTTAGACCATCTTTTGTGATTTATCCATTAGGGAAAACATAGTCATGTGGTATCTAGTTAGATTCATCTTCAAATTTACTTTTAAATTATCAAATTTTTATAATTTTTGCACAAGTATAATTAACGGTATTAATAGCCAAAGTAAAGCAATGACAAGCGTGAATTGAAACTCCACATGGCGTAGTAAAAAAGAACGGAGGAATTTAATTTTTTTTCCTTATATATTATTGTATATATAAGTTTAATTTGGGGGGTAAGGAAGGGGGTTGGTGGTTCGTGTAGCGTCGGCGCTGAGGGAAGGGGATTGAGGCTGGGATGGTGGTGGCAGGGGGTAGGTTTTTTTTTTATTGTTGATTTTTTAAAAAATAATTTAATTGTTAAAATAATAAGCGAAAATATAATTTCCAAGGATATAATAGTCAATTCGCCTTTAATTAACTATCATTAGGCTTATAACTGTAGATTATATACTCATAAATGTCACTACTGAATTAGTAAAGATCGATATTATTTTTTATTTTTTTTATTTTTTATTTTTTGTTGTTTACTATTGAGAAAAATAAAACACTTTAGAACACATTGAGAATTTCACAATAAGAAACTAGGGGAGTAAACAAACTCAGGCGTTGGAGTTGTGTAATGCAAACGGTGCTCAATTGCTTAAGTTTGAGCCTAAGAAGGAGTCAAGCCCTCGTTACCACATTACTGTTGTGATCTTAGTTCCTTGCGGGTAGGCAGTAGCTTTGGCCCTTGGACCTTGGTGGCCAAGAAATCCACAGGTTTGGGCTGCAAACGCGGGTTTTGGCGGGGATTGCGAGTCGGTTCATACGGCTTGTTTTCTTTTTCCCTCGTAACTATAAATACCTTTGAGACTATTATTTTTGTGCATCCGAAAACACATATAGTATAGTGAAACCCAAAAAACAAAGTTATTCCTATAGAGATTTGAACAGTTCTTGAAGTAATTTTAGCCTTCCAATCAGGGTACAAAGTTGAAAGGTAATTGTGTTATCCTTGGGGAGCAATCATTACTGAGAGTCTTGTAGAAATATGTTTATAGGACAACCATAAAACGTGTCAAAACTTACATGAGAACTTCAATTGAGTATTGTATTTTTGCCCTAATTTCTCTATTATTAATTTATTTTCATGGTTGCAACATCCTTATTTCCAACATTAGGCATTGAAAAGGATTTTCCTAGGAGGCTAGTGGTCAACTACATAGTATGAGTACATTAGGATCCTAGGACTCTAGTCTCTAGGAGGGTGAAAGAGACTAATTTTATTCCACTATGGTTGTACGGGACAATTAAAAACAAATTTTTTTTTTCCTTATTTTTTCGTAAATAACTTGAGAAATTAAAAATGTGTGAGGTTGTATCGTGTATGGTACTATCATGGATGTTTTGAAACAAAAAATAGCATATATCTACGCTATATCATTTCTTCTTTCCCAAGCAAGAGGTCTAGTTATTAGCTTCAATTAAAATTTGGATTCAACTATATTTACACTGTTGATATATGATTAAACTAATTAAGCTAACGTTAACATTAGGGCTGTCAAAAGCTGAAACGACACGAAAACCCGACACGAACCCGACACGAAATAAGCGGGTTTGGGTCAAGTATTCTCGACCCATTTACATAATTGGGTCGACATGAACCCGACACGAAATTAAACGGGTTAGGTTTGGGTTAAAATTTTCAACCCGAAACCGACACGCGTAACCCAATTATATAAATGGGTTGAACGACAACCCACTAACCCGAACCCGACACGCTTAACCTATTAATAAAGTAGTAACAAAAACCGAAAATTTTGTTCTAAACTTGTAATTTTGTAAATTGCCTTGGCACCATGTATACATTTAGGTAATTTTTGGCAGTTAATTTGGCGGATAAAATAAATTTCAACTTTTGTAAATTAAAATTTGGCTGTTAATTTGGGACAATTCTTATGTATGGTTGTGCTGCTAAAGCAACCAACTTTAAATTCTTGTAGTACTTTTGCTATAATTACTAACTTTAAACTCTTGTAGTATCATTAATGAATTAATGATGTATGTCTTTTTAATTTTTATATTGAATATTATAGTTTATTACATACTATATGGGTAAAAGGTTACACTGGTAACCTGTTTAATAAGCGGGTTAGGTTTGGGTCAAGGGTTTTCAACCCGTTTAATAAATGGGTTAGGTTTGGGTCAAGGGTTTTTCAACCCGTTTAACATCGACACGAACACGAACCCGACACGACACGACCCGTTTGACAGCCCTATTTAACATGCAAGCTCAACATACAAAGTTTTCAATGGTTATAAAAATACTAAAGAGATATTTTAATTTGACATATTTTTAAAGTACGAGTATATAATGCTTCCAAACAAAAAAAAAAGTACGAGTATATAATTTGTATTTTGTCATTATTTTATTTATGAAAGAAGCATTATAAAATTACTCCTCATCAATTTAAAGAATCATTATCCAAGTATCCAACTTGGTTGCTTACTCATAGTTGACAGCTAAACAAAGGGGCAAGTACGCAAGTTCATGCACCATAACTTTAAAGCCTTAAACAATGAATGTGGGAATTTTGGACATTTTCCTCGTCATCTCATTCTCATCTAATAATCTTAATCAAGTTAAAGCTTACGTATGTACTTACGCAATTCATGTCTTGTTGTGGTGTTTTTTTTTTTAATTTTTTTTTAGAACAATTGATTACATTAGAAAACATTTGTTAAAAGTCAACACGCTTATGCTAATAATGAGTTTTATAATATTCCTTGTTCAATACCCATTATTCCATTAAGCAAAAACAAAAAGACACATCAAAACATAAAAATGATTGTAAGAATTAAAATGGTAAAGAAAAAAAAATAGGCAACATATTAGAAATGAGAAGATAATAGAGTATATACTAAACATTTTTAATCCACCTCAATATTATGTGCCTAATAAGGGAAGGAAAAAAATTACATTCCCAAATTTTCCATTTTTTTTCCCCACCCATCTTTAATCAACTATGACAATTGATCTCATATCCCACAAATACACTCAAGAAAATATTCATTGAAATTCATAATTTGAGGGGTTTTCCAAATTTAGTCATCCTATAATTCTTCAAATTTTCTCCAATTTCTCTGCCTTGATCAACGGGTTAGCCTTTGCAATTGCATCTTTGCCCATGGTCTTGTAATCAAACGTGCACCCATGTTGTTCGGGGTACCGATGGGACCCACAGAACATCAATCCGCACCTACACTTAAACCCGGTCAACCCAACCCGTTTACGACATGTTAAGCATCGGTTAGGTTGGGTTGACGGGATAGCCACATGCCCAGCTTGGACATCGGCGGTTGAGATCATCGTTGTTGGAGTCTCAACCGCCGATGTCCAATCCACCGTAGCCGGGCCAGCCAGTTTAAAACTGGCCGACTGGGTGGATGAGCCCGACTGGACGGGGTTGGTGCTATCTAAAGCGGCTTTAGCAAGCGCATCTTGTTCTTCTTTCATGTGTACATCCCTAAAACATTTGGAACATAAATTTAAAGTTGCTGAGCTTCCAAAAAACCCGCAATTATTTGCACATAATCTGAGCCCTTCTGATGCTTGAAATCCATGTTCTTCTGCCATCTTTTTTAACCGTAAATATCAATTACACAACTTTCTCTCTCCTCTTGTTGTCACAGAAAGTTTGTTTTTCCAATAGATCTACAAAACCCAATAAAAAAAACACGGAAAAATATTATATATAGCCTTTAAAAGTTAATACCACGAGTAATAAGAATATAACACATAAACATAAATATTAAATACCCTGTCTTATATAAACATTAATAAGATCAATCCACACATAAATTCAAATCAATAATAACATGAAATGAAATTAAAAGAAGAGGAGACTATATTAAATTCAAGAGATTGAATAATACCTGAAAAAGGAAAAGAAAATGAAGAAAATATGAATGAAATCTGCAACAAACTAGAAGAATGGGATGGGTGTGTCAGAGAGAGAAAAGGGATTAATAAGAAGAGAAAAAGAAATGAAGAATGGCATAAATAAATAATTATAGACAAATATTAAGAGGAGAGAGAAAATGGAGAGGAAACAACGGCGAAAAACAGACAAATGATCACCAAAGTTGATTTTTTTTTATTATTTTCCAAAAAAAAAAATATAAATTGGAATAAATAAAGGGGAGAAAAAAATTAAATAAGAAAAGTAGAAAGACAGGGTGGAAAAGGGAAGAAAATAGGCAAACGGGAAGGAGACACGGGAAATGATGGGAATTAATTGGAGGGGATTATTTGTAATTAATCAAGAAAGATCCTTTATTTTTTAATTATTTATTTTATTTTTTTGTTAAAGGGGATTTTTAAAAAATAATAATTTAGTTTTTAATGTATTGAAAGACACGCGGTTTGCTTTATATTGTTAGATGTGGCGGATGATAAGTGGGTTAAGAATGTACATCAACTTTTTTGGGGTTAGGTGGTGAGATGTTGTTATTAAGAGATCATCATGAGTTCATTTTTATTTTTCAATTTTTTTGTTTTCGGTTTTTTTTTGTAATTATCTATGAAATCCGTATTTCAAAAAATATTGAGAAAAAAAATTTATACTCCGTAATATTATCATGTACTTGTACAGTACTCGTATTAATTAACTGATCTGATCTAAAATATAGAGTATTTTCAATTAAACTTGGTGATAAGTTGTGCACAAACTATACTAGTGTTAAACCAAGTTTGCTTTAAACTTGGTTAAACACAACATGAAAAATCATGCAAGTATGCAACCATGCCTATGTTATAATTACTTTTGGGTTTTGGGGCAGTCTATATTGTTCACGAGTATGTACGATAATTATTTTTCATTAGTTTTACGTTTTTTTTTTGGAGCAGAAAGTAAGCAACACAAAATCACAAGAAAACATCAACGTAATCTAGAATCTTTTTTCCTTTTTTGCCAGCTCATTTTATTCTGATTATGATAATCAAATTGCCAATTAAGCTAAATGTCCCACATTAATAGAATTGACTCTTGTCGAATTTGTTTTTCAATTATTGTGATGCAATTACAATTGGATTCCTTGAATTGACACACAAATTAAAGATAAACTATAATTGGATTCCATGAATTAGTTGGTCTGGTTTTCGGGTTGTGAAATTCATTTTTTCAGTCTTTGATTCGATCTGCTCCAAAATCCTATAAAAAACCGGTTTTGGACGGAAGTGATTTTTATAGAATTGACTCTTGTCGGTTTTTTTGGTCCGATTTAGTTCGGACCCTAATTATATACCCCTAGACTCTAGTGTAGCTATCTATTCCTACACCCCCTTCCTAACAACACCTAAACAATCCCAATAATCCCATTTTTTGCAATTGTGTAGTAACTGCACAGTAACCACACCTTTTACCCCCTCATAAATTTTTTTTTTTAAAAAAATAAACCATCATTTCATTTTTTTTCTCTCCTTACTCATTTTTCTCCATTTTCTCTCTCTACACCCATTTTGTATTTTCTCTCTCCAAACCCATTGATATACTTATTCTAATAGAAAATTTCTACGAATTAGTGACAAATTATCAATAAAAATTGTTCAATCATTACAAAATTCAACAAAACAAAGTCGAAATTCGAAAAAATAAGAGATTTTGTTCATATTTGGTTCAAAAACAAGTATGAACCCTAGGTTTTACTAAATTTTTGTTGTTATTGTATTTCAAAACAAAACTCGAAACATCAACAATGGAAAATGCATCAATGTAAGTATTTTCTATATTTTTAGGAATTTTTGTTCAAAAACTAGTAAATCAAACCGATTTTTTTTTTTTTTTTTTTTTTTTTTTTTACAGTGAAGAAAACAGTTCCAGAGAAGGAAAACATATGTTGTGGAAAAATTTAAGTATTAATAAAATTAATTCGTTGTGAATTTTTACTTTTGATAAATGTTCATTTTTATTTTGATAAATGCTCATCTATACATTTGTATACTATTATTCACATTTTTTTTTTGTTTTTTTTTTTTTTGAAAAAAATATCATTTACATATTAATAGATAATTAATATAAATGCTCATTTATTTAATAATTCATAGTCATTCGTGTAATAATATTCATTTTTTTCATAGTCTGAAGTGGAAAATTATTTTGACGAATGTTCATTTTTAATTTGGTAAATGTTCAATCACACAATAGTACTTGGTCATTCACAATTTCACATATTAACATAGAAATTTGATAAATGTTCATATTCTTTTGTTATCTACTTCAAATGTTTCATGAATATTTCAACATATGCATTTTCTCATATGAATATATGGTCAATTACATATTGATGTATAGCTTCAAGAGTTCATTCGCGTATATATTTCATGTTCATCAATTGTTATCTTTCATGCATGATCATTTTCAAACTAATATATGCTCATTTATAAAGAAATAGTTGTTCATTTTCACATTGAATACGTAAATATGTTCATTTATGTGTTAATAGTTGTTCATTTTTATATCGATAAATGGTCATTTCCATACTAATATATATTCATTTATATACTGATAGATTTTCATTTTCATATCAATCATGTCAATTGTTATATTCACTCATTTTCCTATTCATATAAATATTGGTTCGATTTAACACTTATTCTGATATTGCTCAAATCTAATACAGTAATTTTTTTTCCTATTAGTTAAACAAAGAATCGCGGATATAGTGAGTTAGATCACACAATAGCAAGGAAAAAGGGAAGACATTACAGCAAAAATAAGGAGATCAATAAGGCATGGATTCGTCAAGCAATGAACCAATAACATGGGCTTGGATTTTTCAAATTCGGATCGAAACATTTATTGTGTTGGATAATATGTGTGGAGTTGTATTGTATATTTTAATATTTATTTTCATATTAATAGATATCCATTTTCATTCTAATCATTTCATTTTAATAGATAGATTTACATTGCAATATTAATGATATAAGATATTCATTTATTAGATGTTTGTTTAAGTTTTAATATATTTTATTATATATAGAAAAATGTACAATTAATTTTTAATATTTATTCATTGTCATACATAAAGTTATTCATTTTGTAAGACACATATGTTCACTTTTAAATAATTATATGTTCATATTTATAAACATCTATTTTCATTTTGATATATATTTATTACAAAGTACAATATTTATACACATGGTTATTCACATATAAATGTATATATGTTCATTTTCAATTCAATACAAGTGTTATTATTATTATTATAAAGAAGACTAAAAGACAGTCAATTAAATTACTCAGCTATACCAATAAAATAGTGTCTATCCTATAAAACATGCATCAGATGCATGTAATTATAAAGCTACTAGTTGTTCAAACAAAAATTTATTATATAAAAAAAGTTCATTTTTATATTGATAAATGCACATCTTCATTATCATTTTATTTTTAACAATTAAATGTATTTATTTTAAATAAAAATATACATACATATACTTAAATGTTCATTTTGATACTAAAACACCTATTATGTCATGTACTTGTTATTTTTTTTTTATATAAAATATACTTCGTATTCTAGAATGTAATAGTAAACGTTTACGCATATATAAATGAACATTAAAATAGTACATATTCATGTTGATATATGTTCATTTGCATATTAATGAATAGTCTATAACATATCTTAATACTTGTATGTTATTAATTTTTAGATATAGAGTTATTTGTTCATAATAACTTTTGAAGGTTGTTTGTTTTTATTGATCACTAATAAATTTGTAAATGATACGTTAACCATAATAGGTGAATTTTAATACTCCATGATTAGATGTTCAATTATAAATAATTAAATGTATATTTACAATCATTAAAAAATATTGTTCATTTATAAACTAGTACATGTTCAATCACGATGTATAAAAGTTTTCCAATAATTTTTCCTATTCAATTTTCGTAAATCACGAATACAGGACTGCTGCAAAAATCAATAATACTCAATTTTACCAAATTGAACCTAATAACAAATGAGAAGGGTTGGAACTATACTGATTGGCAGTAATGCAAAAGATATAAAAAAAAGAATGGGTAGAATGCGGATTTGGTGGTACTTGAATTGATACTCATCATGCGAATTGGAGAGCATGCCCCTAAGGGTACTCCCTTATTAGAAGTTATTTAAAGATGTCAACATCCATTTTTGATTCAACAGCGGAAAAACATCAAACAATTCATGCTTCATTTAAAAAGACAAAAACAACAAATAATACAAAAGTAACAACCTACATTGCCAATAACAATAGCGATAACAAATGTAATTGAATAGGAAAAATACAACTAACTAAATTCAAATCAATAAAATCGAAAAAATTGCAATCAAATCAAAAAATACAAATACATAAATCAATTGGATGGAAGAAATTGCAATCAAACCATAAATTTAAACTAGATAAAAAATCAAAATAATCAAAATAAAAATACAACTATAAGAAAATGGAGAAAATAAATCTATAAAATTGACTCCATGGAATTGAGCTCGAAATCTCCATGGAAGAAGAGAGAGGGGAAAAAAACAATGGAGAAAGAAGATGAAATCAGTGAAAACAAGGAGAGAGAAAATGAAATTGATGAAAAGAGGAGAGAGAAAATGAAGCAATTTGGTTATGTAAAAATATTTACATACTTGCTTGATTAGAATGTAAAGAAAGAGGAAAAAAAAACCAGCAAAAGATGTCACTAGATGATGAAATGACGTAATATAGAAGTGGGGGGGGGGTGTAGGGGAAACTGCATACACTAGAGTCTAGGGAAAAATTTGTATTCGGACCCAACTTAATCGATCCGGTCTTCGGTTTTTGAAATTCTATTTTCGGTTTTCGGTCCGGTCCGGTCTTGGACCGATGAACAACCCTAGCCATGGGTGATGGGTCATTACATATGAGATTAATCACTGGTTTACATTTAATTTATGACTCTATTTATCTTCTCGCTACCAAATTTGTTATTCAAATTGTCACTCACTACATATTACGGAGTATTGTTTTGTTTAGAAATAAAATAAAGTATGACATAGTTTGGTAGTAAGACGTATGACTATAGAACATAGTTTGGTGGTCATTCACCTCATTTTCACTTATTTTTATTTAAGGAAAAATAAGTTCAATTAAGTTTAGACAATATAAGTTCATAAAAAATAAGTTATAAGAGATGATACAGGATACTCAAGTTCAAATTAGAACTAAAATAAATTCTAATATGTTTTAATAGGTTTAGATAAGACCTTTTTCTCTTTCCCTCATTTTTGCTGATTTGAAATAATTTTGGAGCAATAACGCAGACAAAAAAGAGAATTCTTCTTCATATGAGATACATATATATAAAAAATCAGCATTAAGTATTGGGGGAAAAAAACTAAACGAAAACACTAACTTTTATATATGTGGTTAGTTACGCAGTGTGGCCAACCAACATGGAGCTACTCAGTTAGTGTTAAATAAGTTACTTTATTACGGTTATATGCTACTTAGTAATATAAGAGTTACTTTGTTAGTATCGTAGGGGTTATTTTATTATTTAAGGGATAATTAATAAGTATAATAAGGGGTTTATGTGTCAGTGTAATAAGAGTTACTCCGTTTTTTTACAAGCAACTATACAACATTACGTATGGGCCAACCATACAAAAAACGTGTTAGAAAAAAAAACTTCGTATCACCCAAAAAATACATGGGAGTGGAAAAGTATTAAAGTAGTAGTGATAAAGTTGGGCCAACTGGCCAAACTCGCTTGCCTTGTCCGATTTTGGGCTAGCATTTTTGGCTCAAATCTTAGTCCGATCCGGCCCGACGTAACATAGTAGCCCATCCCTAACGGGAACATAAAAAAAAAAAAAAATTACAGCAATTAGTATTACATGCACTATGGAACCATTTTTTTTTGTTTTCACCATTGAATTTTGATATTCTCTTTTTTTTTCCACCTCTAAAAAAAAATTTATGAGGGGGTAAAAGGTGTGGTTACTGTGCAGTTACTACACAATTGCAAAAAAATGGGATTATTGGGATTGTTTAGGTGTTGTTAGGAAGGGGGTGTAGGAATAGATAGCTACACTAGAGTCTAGGGGTATATAATTAGGGTCCGAACTAAATCGGACCAAAAAAACCGACAAGAGTCAATTCTATAAAAATCACTTCCGTCCAAAACCGGTTTTTTATAGGATTTTGGAGCAGATCGAATCAAAGACTGAAAAAATGAATTTCACAACCCGAAAACCAGACCAACTAATTCATGGAATCCAATTATAGTTTATCTTTAATTTGTGTGTCAATTCAAGGAATCCAATTGTAATTGCATCACAATAATTGAAAAACAAATTCGACAAGAGAATGACTATGTCACTGGGGTTAAATTTCGATTTTTTTTTTTTTTTTAAATTTCAATTTTTTTTAAAATCGAAATTGTATCATGCTCTTGAAATTTAACCCCAGTGACACAGTCATTCTTTACTTACTTAGGTTTGACTTCAATTTATGGAAGTATCATGCTCTTTAGGCGTGAGAAATTACTGGTATGCTCAGTCTTACAAAGTTTTGTATTGACTTATTTTATACAATATTTTGTATCAAATCCCGTCTATATCATTGTTAGATCCTTTATTTATACTAAGGACTTGTTCTCTTTAGCTTAATTTCAGTTATTAAGGCGTGAGAAATTACTGATTGCATAGATCCTTGTATGCAGGTATTAAGGCATTCCAGTATACATCCATCACAAGTGTGACGCTATTTGACTGCTGGACTATAGTTTGGGTGATGATTTTGACATGGGCTTTACTAGGGACAAGATACACTGTATGGCAGTACATTGGAGCTGCAACATGTGTAGTTGGCCTTTGCTTCGCTCTCCTCTCTGATGCTGGGATTGGCGGTGGAGGTTGTAAGTGTTTCTTTATATCATGAAATGTTTTTGTCGGTTTTTACTTTTGCAGTTTTGCCTATTGCCTATGACAAATTGACAACCCTTAGAGTAATCAACACTTCCTTTGGTTCATTGTAGAAAACTGCAGTATATGATTCAGAAGCCTCTCAGCTTGCAATTTAATTTGTTCTCTCAAGTTCCTTTTGACATTGTAATTATCAAATATCGGTTATGAACATTAGATATTCTTTCATGCATTCAGCTAACATAAGCAAATACAATGTCAGAGAGCATGTCTTAACTAACCATCCCGCTATTTAGATGTTTTGCTCATCATAGTATGTAGTTATAGCAACTAGCAATAACGGCAAATCAATGGTCTACTGTTGTATCTATAAGTCGGTCTGCTGCATGTAATCTTTGTTAAAATGCCAAAGACTGAGGCTGATTTAGCTTTACATTCCTCGTTGATTTTTTCAGGTGGATCTAGACCTCTTTTTGGTGATTTTCTTGTAACAGTTGCAACTCTGTTTTATGCATTGAGTAATGTTGGTGAGGTAAGTTGTTTAAAATTATCTTTCTGTACTGGTTCAAATGTATTCCTTTTGTTCTGCACTACATATTCATCATACTCTAACATCAAGTATCTCGAACTATAAAACAATGAAACTACATTACTTAAAATGTTTCAGTCTGGCCTAAATACAATTTGATCTCAGTCATATTTCTGCAACTGTTAGCACAATGTTTGCTCGTCTTCTTTTCTCTAACGTACTTAAAAACCTGTATACAGGAGTTCTGTGTCAAACAGAAAGACATTGTTGAAGTTATTTCAATGCTTGGTGTCTTTGGAATGCTGGTGAGCATATGTCAGATGTATCCTTGTATAGCTGCTATATACCTGTTTATTAGTTTTCAAGATTCAAGCATCACTGCACGTTGCATAGCGATAACTCTCTAGAAATTGTTTCAATCCATAACTTTTTATCAGTATACTATTTGAAAGGCACAATTTGGAAGCAATTGAGTGGTCTACGGATATTGTAAGTATAAGATTTTAGCAAAGATACTCGATCAGTTCTGGCATTCCCTGAAATGGCTCCTCTGAAATGGTAGAATGACTGATTTTAATTTATTTCAGATACTAGTATTTGCTGGATTTGCAGTAGGAACTTGTTTATTCTACAGCCTTGTTCCTTTAATTTTTAAGGTAGGGCGCGTTTAACCTTCCTATATAATTACATGTGTATTGATTCTGTTCAACTCTGATTCTTTCTAAGATCAAGTTAATTACTGCTTTTTGGTGAGGAGAATTGTTCATTCTGCTTTTGACGTGTATGCGTACCTTCGTGTGTAGCTAAGTGGAGCTACATTGTTCAATCTATCTATACTTACATCTGATATGTGGGCAGTTGTCATCCGCATACTATTTTATCACGAGGAGGTACTAATTTAACCCTTATTATCCTCTATATACAAGTTCATGCATGATTAATTCTAAATTTTAAAACTTTATGATGTATTAGACCTGTAATTCTTGAATTGAAGTGCTGATGTGATAAGAGAACATTTTTCTGTATGTACAGGTTAATTGGCTATTTTATGTTTCTTTCGCAATCGTGGTTGTGGGACTAGTCATCTACTGCAAAACGTACACACTGATATCACTCAAGCATCTTCTTTTCTGTTGTCTAAATTTTATAATGTAATTGCGGTCCATGTTTATTTCCCATCCGTGATCTAAAAAATTGAGTATGGATGCTAACTATTTGCTAATTTTCGCAGTGAGAACAAATCCAAACCAATAGAAGCTGATATGGATGGGCATTCGAGTATACAATATGAAGTTCTTGGTGAAGAAAGCATAGTGTCAAGAGACGGTTCATTTAGAGCATGAGAGGTGGAAAATGAATCTAAAGGGCCTTAACCAAGCTGTAGTACCCTACTGAGTATACATTACTTCTTGTCCATGTTCATTACATAATACATATGTTGTGACTATATTGTTTTTTTTTTTAAACAAACTTAGCTCAACTTATTAACAAACTAAATGCTGACTCGGATAAGTGGTTATTTATAACAACTTTGCTGACTCAGCTGAACTTTGTTCATAGCCTGTAAATTGTTGCTGGACCTTGAGTTGGGCTTGACGTTGTTTTATTGCAAAAGCTGATCCACCAGTATCAACCATTTTTAATTTTTGGTGTTCCACTCGGTTCACCTTTAGGGCTTATTCGGAACCGTGGCTCAATTTTGAGTGTTTAAGTTTTAGTCCCCAAAACGAAAGGGAAGCTTTAACCACTTGAGCTATCCCTCGCTCTCAGAGAGTATTGTTTATTCGCCTTTTGAAACTAGTGTACAAAAGATAATGAGTTAGCGTTGAAAGAATATTAAGTTATAATGGATTAGCTTTTAAGGAATACATTAAGTTGATATTAGTTCATTTCAAAATAAGTAAAATAAAGTTGACTTAGTTGAGCAATATATTTACTCTGTAAATCATATGATATTTGTTGGGTTAGTGTGACCCAAATTCCATAGTCCAACTCATTATATGTCTTATGGTTTCTCAAAATTTCTAGAAAATTCTAAAATAATGGAGAAATTGATGGAGAATGGTGGAGGAATATAGAAGCAATGAATGCTTAAGAAAATTCTAGATTTATGTGGACAATTTCAAGAGCTTGTGTGTAGAAAATTCCACACACTTCCTCCAACTCCTTACATCACCTATAAATATAAGGTGTTGGACATCATTTGGAGCATGTTTCCACCTACATATCCTCCAATACTCCGATACCCTCATACACTCTATGAGTGTCTCTCTATGCTTAGTGAGAATTTACCTACAAATATCGCTCTCTAAGATATCTATCATGATCGGGGTTTCTACCTACACACAATCTTCCTAATCCACTATCCTTATTTTGTACTACTCCTTTGAGAGTTCCTATAGTGAGAGTTTCTTGTAACACTCAACTTTCAAGGGTTCTTGTACTCTTCTTTTTTTCATTTAGTGGATTTATTTTCAATGCTCGTCGTTCGTAGGTTTTTTGATAATTTTTCCCATGTTAAATATTGTGTGTCCATTTCTTTCTACTTATCTTGCCTTTATCTTTATTCTAATTATTTTTTCAATATATAACCAATTATTCACTCACCAACTATTGATAATTTTCTTCTAATTTGCTTCCATTATTCACTCACCAACTGATATGAAATAACCAAAGAAAACAAGAAAAAGGGGGAATGTTCAAGTAACAACAATATCAAATCAACAAAACAAGATAAACCTATCTCAACAATCACCAACATATATGAAATAGGGGTTCTTAATCAAAGCTAACACAAAGTAAAGCTAGGATTAAGGTGTAACCACATAGATTACAAGGTAGCAATCACAAAGAAAGCAAATAATCACAAAGATTATGAGTAAAGAGAAAAAGTTTCATTGATTACAAAATCAAGCAAAAAGTTCATCAAAAATAGCTGATTGAAAACAGGAAAAGGGTTGGCCGAACACTGGGTAAGTTCGGTTGGACTGCTGGGTAGGTTCGGACCGAACTAAGGCGGGGTAGGTTCGGTCGAACTTCCTTGCCCTTGGTTCGGCTAAACTTTTGGTGTTCGACTCCTCCTGCAAAAATGGTGAAATCTGATTTGAAAATACCTTGGAGGTTCGGTCGGACTCACCTCGGTTCGGTCGAACTTCCCTGCTCCTCGTGACTGCCTGAACAACTCAATTTCAAAAATTCATAACTTCTTTGTTTCTTTCTCAAATTTGGCATGTGACCTGTCGTTGGAAAGCTCTTGAACTCTACTTTCATCTTCAACTTGAATAACCTAAAAATTCATTGTAACGAAAGAGATATGGCGGAATGAAGTGGTTGCATCATATATTGATAAGCTAATTCAATTCCCTCTCATCATTGTTCTCATTCTTTATTTTTAATTATCAATTGTAAAATCAAGACACAAGCATTAATTTTATTAAACTAATTCATGTCATAACATAGAGAATTTATCCAAAAAGTAGATTGGATCCATAAATGCCACCAAATGGATCATATAGTCGCACAACTCGTAGTTTTCAATGATGCTCCCGCATCACCAACCCTAATAGCAGCAATGATATCCACCAAACAGCAAAACCAATGAAATCAACTTGCAGGTCGTGCCGTGAATTTTTTTTTGAAAACAAGAACGGGCATGGCACAAACCCGGTGGACGACACGATCACTCGGCCCGTGGCACGACCCATAGCACGACACGCGGCCCGCCAGGCACAGCCCGACCCTTGCAAAGTTATTGTACAATTTTTGTATTATCGAACCCCATATTTTGTATAATAAAATAAGCTATAAAATTAAGTTATTCACCAATTATTGTACGATTTTTAATTATCATTATAAATTATTGTATTATCTATTTATTGTACCGGCATATAATAACATAAGTTATTCATCAATTTTTAAGTTATCGGCTTATCGCACTCGTAAATTTTTTTGCTTTTTGCTAAATAATACGGAGTAATATAATAATACAAAAACATAAGCATAAATTAATAAAAGTATTCAAATATACTCATTTTCAAAGTTGTTAAAAAAATATATATCAATTTTTTAAAAATTAAATTATGGAAAAACCGGGGCAGCCTGCTACCCGGCCCGCCAGGCACGTGGGCCGTGTTGTGTCGTAGGCTGGATGTGCCAAAAGGTGGCACGACACGGCACGACCCTCCATAAAGCAGGCATGGCACGACCCGCGATAGCTCGGCACGTCACGATGTCCACCTTTACTTATGGGGTGTTTGATAGGAGGGATGGGATTAAGTGGGATAAGGACGTGGGATAATAAGGTGGAATTAATAGATTGGACAAGGATAAAAATAGTGTATTCCATTTTTTGGTATGAGTTGAGATTAAATTAAAATAACTAATAAAAATTCAAAATTACCCTCACTATCCTTTCATAACTCTTTTCTTCTTTCTCTTTCATTAAGGGTAGAAATGTCTTTTACCCATTAAATTTAATCCCCATCTCTTATATCACCCCCTTAGTTATTAATTTGGAGAGAAATATTATTCCCCTTCTAACCCCCCTCCTAATCTCCATCCCCCTAAACAAACAAAAGACTTCTTATATCCCTCCTCTTTTATCCTATCGTCCCTCTTCTATCCCTCTAGCCAAACACCTTCATATTTCACTAAAATGTTAATTAAAATTAACTATGGTTAGATTTATTAAAGAAAAAAACACTAAAAAATCAACCACCAACCATCTACCTCCACCACCTCCTTCACGGAAACCCTAACCTTACTAGCTCACCTAAGCCACGACAAAGGGCTAGGTTCTTAGAGGAGAGAGAAGGAGGGAGGTATTCAGGGTAGAATGGGTTTGAGCGGAGGGGAGAGAGAGGGGGGGAAGGTCATGGGTTGTGGTTTGAGGAGGAACGCCACGGTTTGAAAGCCGTGATGGTGGTTGTAGTTTGGGAAAACGGTGACGAATTAACGACTGGTGGTGTTGGTCACGCCTGTCGCTGCAATTTGATCCTGGGAGCAGGGGAATGGTGTATGCGGTTTGGAGGTTGGTGGTGACTACAAAGTTGGTGGTTGTTGCGATGGTGATGCCAGGAGGTTGCAATTATTGTTGAAGGTAGAACGGTGTGCTTGCTACCATTGCAGTTTAATACGGAAAACAGGGCAATGTGATGTGGTGTTTGCGTCATAGAGGTGGCGTAGGAGGAAGAGGAGAGAGAAGGAGGGTCATGGGCGGGGTTTTGGGTTGGCGGTGGTCAGGTGGAGCTGAGGTAGCGTTGCTGGAAAGGGAGATGTGGCTGGGCAAGTGGGGAAGGTGGTGGTAGATGTGGCTGCATTCGTGGTTGGATTAAATTTTTTAGTTTTGTAATTTTTTTTTTAAAAATATAAAATAAAATTTAACCATAGTTAATGTTAATTAATTATTTAATGAAATAAGGTTATAAGTGCATGGGCTAAAGTTCTAGAAGAAGATCATTTTGTATATTTGATTTTTGAGAAGATTATCATGTGTGCGTAGCAGAAGTTGGGGATTACCATTGAGAATTTCCCAAAAATAAACTATTACTTTGTAATCCAGTGAATTGTCAAATTTTAATATTATCATTAATCATTATGTTATGTCACATTGTCACTAAATTAGTACTTGTGCATAGGGGTGTCTATTTTGTTTTCAAGTTTGGATTTAGGTTAAATCCAATCCGATCCGAAATAAAATTTGGTTTTTGATTATTAAATCCAATCCGATCCGAATTTCTCATTAATCCAATCCGAATTAAAATTCGATTATTTGGTTTCAATCCGAAAATTCGAATTAAAATACATTGTAAGTTTGTAGGGACTAAAGTGATTATAAAAATAAAAATGCAGTTATAAAAAGCTTTGTCTTAAATACATAGTTGTACATGATTAATACATATATTAAAAACATAATTTTACATAATTTATATGATGTAATTATTAACATAATTTTGCATGATTAATACATAAAGTGTCCTGATTTGTAATACCATGATTTCATATTTCGATTAATTCGGTTTTTTTTTGGATCCAAACAAGGTCAATCCAATCCGAAAATCCAAATTTTAAAAAAAAATTCAATCCGATCCGATCCGATTTAAAGTTTAGATCTGACCCTTATTAACAATTTGGTTGGATTAGATTAGATTTCGGTTTTTATCCAAATAATGGACACCCCTTACTAGTTGTGCATTGCAAGATTTTAAACATGCGAGCAATTTAAAATTTTTCTATAGCTAAAGACTTGAAGGTTAATAGAAAAAATATACTACCTCCGTTTTTTTAGTTGACACGTTTTGATTTTAGCACTATTCACATACTCCCCTTTGACCGTGTTATGTGCTTTATACATAATGCAAAATATAGTCATGTGGGATCTTGTTAGTTTCTTCATGATATATATTTTTTCAAAATATCAAATTTTCATAATTTTTGTTTATCGGTAACCAAATATATAAATGGTTGAAGTTGTGCATTGACAATGTGAATAAAGAAACGTATTAACTAAAAAGAAACGATGGAAAAGTATATACTCTGCATATATATATATATATATTAAGTATTATTCTTCCAAAAAGAAAAAAATAATAATGAAGTAAGCAAAATGAAATGAAAGTGT